CCCCAAAACCCCAAAACCCCAAAACCCCAAAACCCCAAAACCCCGTTAGCTGCTTGTTCGTTGAGATTAACAATGAAAGAATTATCAGAATGCAGGGATTTTACCGAAAGATTCCCAATCCTTTGGATCATATACCTTCTCGTTTGCTTCAAGAGTGCTAATCTTCTCCACTTCCTCTTCTGATAAGGTAATGGTGGTAGCTTCAATGTTCTCTCCAGCTCTTTTGGCAGTGTTGGTCTTTGGGATCACAGTGTTTCCTAGTTGTAGATTCCAAGCTAGAGCGATCTGAGCAGGAGATTTTCCATGAGTGTCGGCAATCTCTTTGATGGTTGGATCCTCCAGAACGTTTCTGCATTCACCTCCAACAGGTCTAGCAGGAGCACTTAAAGGAGAGTAAGCAACAACTGCAATATCGTAGTTTTTGCAGAATTTTCTGAATCCTTCTTGCTGGTAGTATGGTTGCAATTCGACTTGGTTACAAGCTGGAGGAATGTTAGCATAAGCAAGCATATCCACCATCAATTGGACGTTAAAGTTTGAGATTCCAATAGATTTAGTCAATCCTTGTTCAACACAAGCTTCCATTCCTTCCCATACCTTATGCATTGGAGTCTTCTTGATAGTTTTCTGGTCACTTTCAAGTTCAGGAATGGACCAATGAATTAGATACATATCTACATAATCAAGGTTTAATCTCTCTAAGCTATCTTTGCAGGCTTGGACTGGGTCTGAGTACTCAGTTCTCCAGAGTTTGGTTGTGATGAAGAGTTCCTCTCTTGGGACTCCAGCCTTGATAGCATCTGCGATGGCTTTCCCAACAAGTTCTTCATTTCCATAAACTTTTGCTGTGTCGATATGTCTGTATCCAAATTCTACAATACTATATCTAGTGAGATTATAACTTTACCTATCAGTGATTACTCCTTGGTCTTTGACATCAAAGACTCCGAGACCAAAAGTAGGCATAGTGTGACCACTGTTAAGAGTCACAGTCTTGGCTACGGCTTCTTTAGCTACTGTTTCCATGAGATTCTACAAATCCTAAATTATTAAATTGTGAACGTAGCACCCTTATAAGGGGTTTTGGGGTTTTGGGGTTTTGGGGTTTTGGGG